CGAGGGAGTTAATCGTGCCTGCGCGCCGCAGTCCCCTCCCGGGCAGCGGCCGTCCAGGCTCCTCCTAAGCCGCGCGGGCGGGGGAGGATGGGGTCGCCGCGCCCGGCCCTCCCAGCCCGGACTTCGCCGGCGTCCGCGGGAGGATGCGCACTCCACTGCGGGCGCTCGGGCCCGGGCCGGCAGGAGGAGGCTGAGAGCGGAAGGGAGACGGGAAGTGGGGAGGAAACTGCCGGCTAGTGATTTAGATTTCAGGAAATGAGTCTTTCCAAATCTTAGGAGATAGGACAGAGCGAAGCTGCGATTCCAACTCGGGCGGACTGCGAGCCACAGTGGATTAGGAATGTCCGGAGGAACAAAATCCCGTTCAAGGAGCTGCACTTTCTTGTAGGTGTGTAGCTTGACACATATCTTGAATCAAGAATGACACGGTGTAATTAACCACATATACATACACAGATCTCGGAGGATGGACCATTAACCCTGTAACAGGCAACTGGCTTGCGCTTAAGGCAGATCTAGTGACACGGCCAAGCGGAAGAATAGGTCAGAGGATGATTGAAAAACCACACGCGACACCAAACTGTTTAAATGTGCATATTAAGCTCGATTTGAGAATCTCTGTGGTAGAAATTGCTTATCCGCTAGGGATCTAGGCAGGCAAGAGGATAGACGCCAAGTGTATTGGGGCTGGGAGTGACTTAGAGGACGCAGACCAAGAATCTGCTTCAGCACCACCCAGGTGGATAGTACCAGAGTCCGCCAGCACACCTGGGAAAAAAGGAGGAGCGGATTCGGAAGAACACTAGGGAAAGATGAGTCCCAAAGTTTTTATTCGCCCTGACTACACTGATTCTCTTTAGAAATAATATCCCCCTCCTCCGTCTCGGATGTATATATAATGCCGATGGTTATTGCAATACTGATTGCAAAAGTCAAAATCTAATCAGAATGCAGTATGAACCCATAAAGAAATGGCTGAGTAAATTCTCATATATGGACAACATAGAATATTATGCAGTTATTAAAATAATGAATTATATGTCACATTGGCAAACACCTATGCTAAAACTTCATGATAATAGTGGGTGACTGGCAAACTGTGGAAGCCTAAGTGTGGGACTGTTGTCCCTTGCTGTGTCCCCAGCATGTACAAGAGTGCCTGGCACACAGCAGGTGCTGCACAAATATTTATTAAATTAAATTACTTCCCTTGTTTTAAACATGGCACTGTATACATTCTTTTGTATTTTAAAAGTGATTAGATCCATATGATCTCCTGAGATGAGGGTAGAAAGAAACAAATCTAATTTGAAACAGTAACTGTAGTAGTTTAAAACAATGGAAAATTTAAAAGCCGTATAATATTTAAAGTGTCTTATTAGCACGTTTAACAGACTGAGATGGTGCACAGCCAGCTTGATGTTGTTTGTTTGGGTGGATGGGTAGTGGGAAGAGGCTGAATATTCTTTTGTACTTATTTAAAAATCTTTTTGGGAATTTTATTTTTTCCCTCAATCTTTTGTGCAGCAAACCTACAGTCTTATGTCGGTTTCCACCTGTGTATTGAAGTGTTGGGCTTGGAGTAAGTTGATTCCTGCTCACAACCTGGCCCAGCCACTTACTCCTGTCTTCATGCAAAGCACTTAACATCTTTGTGTTTCAGTTTCATTATGGGGATTAAAGTGTCACTTTCCCAGTGGTATGAGGATTGAATGAGAAAGTGGAACTAGAGAAAGCAAATTGCTTTTCTTTTTTTTTTTAATCTTTTTGAGATAGGGTCTTGCTATGCAGTTCACTTTATAGCCCACGGTGTTCTTGAACTCACAACTATCCTCCTGCCTCAGCCTCCTGAGTGCTGGGATTACAGGTGTGTACCACCAGACCCAGTTTCAAATTGCTTTTCAAATGGGAAGTGATGCCAATGCTGGGCTATATCCATTAGGGATTATATCTTCAGAGCCATAAAATGCAATGTCTTAAAATGGAATTAGCAAAAGTAACTGGAAATGTTTCGTTGCTGATATATATGTACAAAGGCTATGAATATGTAATCTAATGGGTCTATATTTGTACCGCATCTGCTGATTATGAGCTGACTGATTTGAAGCCAGCCTCTTTAACCTCTCAGAGCCCTAGTTTTTGATTTGTAAAATAATGATGATACTACATATGGTGCTTATAGATTCATATGAAATAATATAAACACAAGACTGTCAGTCACATATAGACACGCAGTAACTTATAGATATTTTATTTAAAAATATGCTTACTATATATTTTAAGGTTCTAGTACCTCCAGTATTATTATGGATTCATTAATTATTACTTCAGTTTGGTGAACTTAACTTGTTGGCCAATAGGGCAAGCGTTATTACCACTCTTTTGGAAATGGGAAAACGAGCCCAAGCACATACATGATGGGCTTGGCTATCAATCAGAGGAATCAGGTGCTATGGTCTGAACGTTCCCTTACAATGTAGATGCTGAAACATACTCCCCAGCAGGATTCAGAGGTGAGGCTTTTAGGAACTGATCTCAAGAATGGGATTGGTGCTCTCTAACAAGGGCCTGAGCAAGCTTGCCGGCCCTTTGCCATGTGAGGATGCAGCAAGAAAGTGTCACCATGGAGCTGGTGTGAGCTCTCCCAGACCATATGTCTGCTGGTGCCTGGACCTTGGGCTTCTCAATCTTCAGACTGTGAGGTACGAATTTCTGTTGTTTGTGAATTACCCCATCTAAGGTATGTTTTTTAGCAGCCTGAATGGATTAAGACATCGGTCTAAAACAGTTCCATGGTCACTGTCCTCAGTCTCTGTGCTGAATTTAGATTATCAGTTTCAAAAAGACTTTACATTATGGGACATAGGTTTCTGTGTGTGTGTGTGTGAAAAGGAAAGTAGTTATGTGTGTCAGAATTGAATTACACATATGCAACTACGTCCTTTGTCATAATATTGCTGCGCTTGGGTTATACACACATGCACATGCACGCACAATCCGTCCTAGAACAATTAACTGCTATATTTTCATCAGTGTCTATGTTCAGGTACAGTTAACAACTGCAGGAGTGACTTCTACTTTTAAGTCAGTGTCAGTGACTTTTGATGTGCCTGACTGCTTCCCTTCCCCCACCTCATGATGTGTTTGCATCTCAACCAGTACACTTTATATTTTTTCTATTATGCTTCCTCTCCTGATTTGATTTGTGAGACTGGGAGACAAAGCACTCTCTTGGACTATTCCTGAAAAACCAAGGCCCTTACTGAGACCCAAAGGACTTTGTAGTCATGGTGATGAGCAACAGCCTTCCTATTTGTCTGGGAGACTCTTGGGGGAATCTGGGTACCTCCTCACACAGTCCTAGCGCAGGCAGGATCCACTTCTTGGCTTAGTGGTGGTGATCCTAATATCAGGTCTTGTTTGCCCTTATTTTGGACCACTTTAACATAGCAGTTTGCATTCCAAATAAAACTTAATGCGATTCCTTGCCATGTATATAGTCTCTGAATAACCAGGACAACCTCACTCACTTTTTCTCCACAAACGTAAATAAATATTCAATTAAAATTAGACACCTGTGTTGGTTTGGGGCTTATTTTGCAAGGGGAACAATATAACACAGGACACATACTTCATATGATTATTTATAATAGTCACCCAAAGAACAGTATACAAAAGAGTGCAGGAAATCTGTCCACACACTAAGACCAAGGAATCCAGCTGAGGGCCTGGATCCCACAACAATGTCCCACATGAGTTTAGCTGAATACCCAGAGCTCATAACAATGCCTCCCATGAATCCAACTGGAGGCCCAGAACCCATGACAACATCTCATGAGGACCTGTTTCGCGGATCTGCTGGGAAGGCCCAAACGTCAGTGGTGGAATCTACAAAGTCTGTGCCAGCAGGATGAAGGACCTGTGCTAGCAGGCTGAGGAATCTGCACTGGAGCCAGGAAGTGATGCTCAGAAGAACCGGAGCTCCCCGAAAAGGTACCACAGCCATCGTCGGCAACAGTGAGGTCCCGAGCTCCTCCGATGATCAGGATGGCCGAGTTCCCATCAGGTAAGCCAACGCAGCAAGCTTTTCCAGGAGGCTGGCAGTGCACCATGTTCCCCTCTGGAACCAGGCAGCTATGCTCAAAGTGAGGACCAGAGCTCCCCAAAGTGAACCAAAGCCATTCTCAGTGCCAGCGAGGTCCCAAGCTCCTTGGAGGATGAAAACAGCCAAGTTTATCGGGAAAGCCAGCTCCCCACAGCCTCTCTCAGTTCCCAACAGCCTGCCTCTTCTTCTCCAGGTCTGCCTCTTATGCTGCTGGCAACAGTCCTCAGGTGGGCCTCCCACACCCAGTGCCACACTCACTCAGTCCAGCTGGGGGCTATAAGTTGACCGCCAGTTATCAATCCGCTACAACACCATAAAAATAATTTTGTAATTTTTCTGTTCTTGACTCTTTTGTGAGGTTGAGTTGGTACTCTGCGGAGAAAGGATGTAAACATGCCTGCACTGGGTGCAAATATCTGTACTGAATGTCACTACCACTGTGCTACTCCCAATTTTATGTTTCTGTTATGCTTTGGTCCTGGATGTCCTCCCAAAGCCTCATGCAGTCGTGGGGCGGGCTTCTAGAGTTTATGACTG